CAGGAGTTTGTTTAAGGAAGATCTAGGTAAGAAAATCATTAGTGGCTCCTAATCAATTACACAGCAAGAAGCCTTGGTGAGTGCCCAGCCAGGGTCTCTGTAGGATGTTCATGGCTCTTCTCAGGGGCTGTGCAATGGCAGAGTTCAGGATCAGCTGAATTCTGGCACAGCTCTGTGCCTGGCCAGACCTCTGCCGCCTCTGTGCAGAGTGTGGAGTCCCTCCTTGCCCTCTCCTTGTCCTTCAAACACAACAGAATGGAAAGACAGGAGCAAGAAGGCAAAGTGCTGTGTCGTGTTTCCTCACAGACAGCAAGACACAGTCAAGCACAGGGTATATGAGGGGGTTTCAGCAGGATGAGAGTGAAGTTCTGGGCTATTTTCCTGTAGTTAACCTGTCACCTGCCATGAGGCTCTTTATCTTTGAGCCTGAGAAGGCCCCATTTTGTCCAGTTCATTTTAATCACTGCATTGGAATATGTGTGTAAAAACAACAACAAAACCCCATCTGCATGAAACCAAATTTGATATTTGCTCCCTGTCTCAATGTGATCCCATGAATTTCTTACATTGTTGTGTCTCATGTAGTGAGGGTCCCATGCAGAGAGCAAACAATGCAGCAGTGAGAGGACAGATGCTCTGCTAATGGGAAAGCAAGGAGCAGAGAGTCTGTGAGGGATTACAGGCAGCCTGGGGTGGGAATACATTATTAGCATAGCACCCAATTCAGAAATTAGTTTTCAGAATTAAATGCCTGAAGCATTTTGGCAAAACCTTCTTATCATCCCACTCAAAAGCTCTGAAAGTGTGAAAGAGAGGGATCTCAGGCCTGGGCTGGGCAGTGGGTGATGTGCAGTGCTGCAGCACTGAATTGGAGATTTTACAGCTTCATACCATCGCCAGGGCAGCAGCTGCCACACCCACTGCAATGTAACCGCTGGCTCTGCTTGCACAAACCTTCAGCAGGTTTTGGACATCCTCATCAAAGAGGCAAAAGGGCCTGAATGAGATTCCAGGCTCTGTTTCCAGGAGGAAGGTTTTGTTTTGCTGAGTGCAGAACAGCAGGGAAGAGCAGCAGCCCCTCCCTGGGCACAGTCAGATGGAGGGAGGAGCAGTGCCATGGCTTTTCAAAGGCCTGACACTGCCTAAGGTAGAGAGTTTGGTCCTGAAGCCTTTTTCAGGAGCACTGTTTTCTGAATGTTTTTCTTTTGGAAATCACGATGGGAACATCAAAATTTAAAAGACCCTGGTAGACAACCAAGGTTTGCTGCAGGACTGAGAGCAGGCAGGAGAAATTGTTTCTCATAGTACTTGGTGGGATTATCCTCCATGCATAATTGTTCATTGTAGGCTCCAAATTCATTATTAATTTCTTTTAGATATATTGCACATTAGACAGAAGAATTATAAATCCCAAGATTATCACAGGAGGATACTAACAGGCCTAAATATTCAGGACAGAAGGGGTCTTGTTTTCCTCTTACATTGAAACAAAGATTCTTGGACAGGATCAGAGTTTTTTTGGAGGTTTTTTTTTGTTTGTTTGTTTGTTTTTTTTGTGGGGGGGGGACTTGGACTGTTTGATAATCAAAATATATTGGACAGCAAACAAAAGAAAAGTTCAGCCAGCCAAGTCTTCTACTTTACTTTTACTCTGCTATTCTAACATTATTAACATATTCTCAATGTTTATTTAGCTTCCCAGAGTCTTATTTTATATAAGTATCGCTGAGGAGCTAAATTACAAAGTCTTCATTTGTGTCTATAAAATGAGATTTTATTATCCTGGTAGAGAAGACAAGGACAAGGTAAATAAGGAAGAAAACAGCTGAGACCAGACTTAAGAAATCAGGAGAAATAATATGCCAGCTCTTCAACTTGCACTTTGTTTCCTTTGCATCCTGGTGTACCCAGCATTGTACTGCTGAGTCACAGAAGGGACAGTAAAGGGTAACACTTCATTTTCAGCTTTGAATTTCAGAGCTGGTCTTTTATTAACAACTTCTCTCAGTGTTTTTATATGTGCTCAAGGAGTATCTGTAATGAATATTAGGGAGAATTCAAAATTACAGTTCCCATTTGTTGTGGACAGAGTGTCCATAGACCTCTGACTGCTCCCATCCAGGCTGACATTGGTGTATTTACATCACTTCCCTGCTCTGCCAACAAAATACTTTTTTTAAGAACCTGGCACAGAGAAAACCCATTTCTAGAGGAAGGCTAGAAGTGAGCCCCACATGCTTAGATCCTGAATGAAACTGTGCCTGTGAATGGCACAGGAACAAGAAGCAGAGCTGAGATTTGGCTGCTCCATGAGGGTCTTGCTGTCACCTCACTGCTTCACCTCAGCCTGCTTTTCATGCCTCCAGATTGGGAATGGGGGCTGTGCTCAAAAGCTCTTTTTACTGCTGTGACTCTGTCAGTAATGAGAAAGGCTCTGAGTCTGTATAGCAAACCCTCTCCTCTCTCAGTTCCCTGCTCACAAGCTCTGGGACCAGTGCTGCTCCCTCCAGCCCTGCTGGGAGCCCACCCCAGGAGGCTCCTGGTGTGCTGAGACAATAAAGAGGCTCTTCTGCCTTGGCTGCAGTCTGGAGCAAGTCACAGCTCCTCTCCCTTTGCACACACAGGACTGTGAGGGTTGGTAATAATCAAGCGCTTCAAAGACAGACGTTGACAATTTTAATTAGTAATTAAAGACTTTTAAATTCTGCTTCTAAAATTCAAAGCTTAGTACAGTAGCTTTATTTGAACACTCCAAGTTGGGATCAAAGTGCAAAGAAGCAGTTCACAGTCAGCTCCAGAAATGTTGAGAAAGTCATTTATTGCTTTTAGCAGCAGTGCCCCCAGTGTGCCATCCTGTAGAAACAGTGCTGCTGGGCTCTCAGGCTGTTACTCTTTTCCAGCCCAAATAGGTCTAAAATACAAGCAGACCTGGATCCAAACCCCTGATCTCACTGACCCAGACCTTCAGTCTGGCTGGGACTGACCCTGTGACCAGGAGAGAGGAGTGTAGTGCTAAAGGACAGCTCCCTGAGCATGGGAAATGTTTTGTCACTGCTGTTGCACTTGCTGCCATATTGCAAAGTCTTCTTAATGGGGTAATCCGGTTCTGGATGTGTTTGACTAATAACAATTCTCTTGTTAAAAACAAATCATGGTTTTAATTTAATAGGGTTACTTCTATAAAGAGTGATTTTGTGTCAGCAAAGCCTTTCTTTCTTACAAAAAATATAATTTATGACAATCTAGTTAGCAATAAATGCCATTAATCTGACCACCACGCCATTCTCTTCCTGGGGAATAATGTCCCCTCTTCATCAATAGCTGGGTGAATGCTCCTTTGCATTCCTTATCAAATGACAGCCAGATGGGACTGGTAAATTCATTCCAGCAGGATTTTAGCATTAGCTGGATTTGTGCTGCTGTTAATCCTCTGCTGTCTGTGTCACTAGGAGCTGCCCACCTGTTTCAGCGAGCCTGGGCTTCCCAGCCCTAGGAGCAGTCCAGCCAGGGGGCAGCCAGGAAACATCCCAAGCACTGAGACCTTTTTCCTGCATCAGTAAGGAAAACAAAAAAGCAAATAAAAGTAGTGTCAGCTAGGACTGCCACCTCTGTGTTTGTTCCTCAGCACCCTGATCTCTTCCAGGGAAGTTTCAAAGTTTCACAAGCCTGCACAAGCTGTGTTTCTTAGGGCACAGTGAGTTTTGGGTGTGACAGCTGCTATGTCATTTACTGACTTCTGGGCCCATCAAAGTGTCTGGGAGACCTTTTCCTACAGAATCACTTGGTTGCATAGCAACAATAATTTTGTCTCCAACCTATTGATCCAACATAACATGTAATCCCCTCACTCCAATAAAAAAGAAAACATATGGCAGCTCTAGGCAGGGAAGTGCAGGCTTTTGATGTGAGGGGACACTTAATCCCCACTAAACCAGGGGGGAATGGAGCAAGACACACTCTGCTGGGCTCAGAGGATGCATTAGGTGCCTGAGCCAATTAACCTGTGTTCTGGGAGAGGAGCCTGCTTTACATTCCTCCTCCCCTTCCTCATCTTTTATGTTGTGCAGCTGAAGCACATTTGAGGTGAGCTGTGCTGGAGGAGCATCACTGCAATGCCCCAGGTGGGTGGGCACAGGCAGGATGGTGCTCACACAGCCCTCAGCTGAGATGGGCTGCACAGGCTGAGGGGAAACTCCAGTTTCACATGGCTGCAGTCCCTCAGGAAGATGTCTCTTGTTTGTAGGCTGTCGCTTGGAGGTCACTCTGATGACCTGGATGGTTTTTCTGTGCCTCTAAACAGAGGGCTAAAAGCAGATCTTGGCTTTTGAAACAGGATCTGCTTTGGGGACAGGAGCACAAAGCTAAGGTTGGGACTGCTCAGGCACGGAGCACAGAGCTTTGGTGCCAGGCAGGCACAGCCTCTCTCCACAGCCATGCCCTGGCACTGCAGTGTGGGCTGGCACCATCGTTCTGAGGAACCTCCTGCTGCCCACACTGTGCAGTGAGCCCAAACCCCTGTGGGTGCTCTGCAGGATCCTTCCCTGCCTGCAAGGCTTGGGATCCACAGGGCAGCCAAATCCTTCTTGGGCCTGGGGTCATTTTTCTAGCTTGCAAATAACACTGAGTAAAATGAGGGTCCAAGTCTGAGGTGGCTGATTTGAGCAGGATTTGGGAGGTGAGTTCTCTGTTATTTAAAACAACCACCAGAAGAGTCAATTCAAGCTAATTTCTGCACAGCAAACACAAACTTTCCGTAAAGACTTTAGAAATAAAAAAATCAAACTTACAATAATACTGTTACATGGGGAATCTCAGTGGAAATATTGCAGTGAATCAGAAGGCCAGACTGGGCTCTGAACATGCTGCAAGAGCTGAGTGAAGGCTTCTGAGTCACTGTCTTCCAAACCTGTGTCACACATAGCACAGCCTTCACCTAAAATGTATTTCTATGGCTAGAGGAGTGGCTACTAATGATCCTTTCTTTTGTGTCATTTTAACAGTATTCAGGTTTTCAGCAAACAGCAGACAAGTGCTTTGTTTGTGGACACCTCATAATGGAAATGGTAAGAGACCTAAACTCCTAATGACAGGTAACTTGGGAGGTGCACTGTGAGACATCTGCTTTTCCCTGCCCAGGCTGGTATTGTGTCTTCACTGCTGTCAACATAGGTTTTGAAACTAAGGCAGTAAATAAAAATACCTTCATGCTCCATTACTACTATTAGAGGCAGAAAGTTGGGCTTCTTTGCTACCTAAGAACATGGAAGGCTATTACTCTGCCATTTGTGAGTCAAAATAAAATAGAATTTTAATAATAAAGGAGGAAGTACAGCAGAGCTTTGTATGAGAATATGGTGAAGGAACATGGTGGGTGTGCTCTGTAAGACAGTAGATAACCAGAGCTCTGTCATGTGGGTGGAATCTGGGATAGAGCAGAGGGGACATTATCAATAGTCCTGAGATTTGTCACCTGCTCTGTGACTTACTTTGTTTACCCTCTGTTGCTTGCTCCACGTCATTTAAAATGCATTATTGCCACTGGGATTTTTAGGGAGCCAGCAATCAGAGTTACTTTTGTAATAAAAATAAAATCAAAGAGCTTTGGGTTGGCCAGATCCTACTGGCATCCTTTCAGGGGGTGAAAGTAAGAAGAGTTATGTCTGCTCTTCCTAAGCAGAAATTCCCAAACCAAATGAAGTGGTTTGCACAACAAAGAAGGGCAGATCTTGCAGTGTATCTGTTTTCCTCTTGCTTTAAAGTGTGCATGAAGCTCCGTGTGCCTAAGAGGAGTAGCTGGTGTGCTGCACACACAGAGGTTCAGTCAGAGCTGGAACAGGGACTTCACTAATGAGGATTCTGGCTCACATTCTGGCACCACTGGTTGGACAAGGATATTGTTCGTTTTAGCCTAGGAGCAAATCTCTGGAGCTGTGTCATGCTGGGAGGGGGAGGGGAATCCTGACGTGCTTGCTTTGAGCTGGCCCTTAATTGCAAAATCCAGGCAAGAGTCCATAACATCTCACTGGTGGAACTCAGTAGCTGCAAGCTTGGCAGGTGCTTGTCTGCCTCTCTCCCATCAGCAAGTGTGCTCTGACAAAAGGAAACAGCTCTGGGAGCTCCGGGAATTCAGCTCTCCTGTTTGGGGAATTCCAGCGTGCTCCTGCCTGGGAGCGCAGCCCGGCCCTGCCGAGTGCTGGCCTGGGGCACAGCTGGGGCACAGCTGGGCCTCTGCAGGGCTCTGCAGGGCTGGTGAGGAGCTGCCCTGTGCTCAGGGCTGTGGCTGCACAGCTCTGCCAGGCTGGCACTGTACTGTGCTCCTGCAGCAGCACCAGCCCCAGCACAGGGACCCGCTGCCTCTGGCTCAGAGTGGCCTTCCCAGTCAAACAGAGTCTGATACCCCTGAATCACAGGGCTTCATCAAAAAGGGAAATAAAGGTTAAATTAAATTGGCCCTTTTTTTCTGCACTTCTTTCGTCTTGGTTTGATCTTTATTCATAGAATCACCTATGAGGCCATGGGAGCTTGGTCTGTGTAGATTTTTCACCTCGAACTTCCCAGCAGCTCCAAGCTGAGAACTGTGCTAGCAGCTGAAATTTTGAAATTACCTTCCAAAGATACTTCTTACACCCAAAATGTATGGAATTGGTTTTATAATCTGTTGAGAGCTGCCTGAAAGTCATAGCTGTGTCTCACTCTTCCCAGGGGCTTGTTCATGGGCTTGCAGTGTCCTCCTCAATGTCCCAGCGCCACAATGAGTGTCACATATGAGGACATCAGGAGTGGGGGATCTGTTCTGTAGTAGTGCAGCCAAGGTTGAATCAGACCTTTCCCTGAAACCTTTAAAATGCAGTAGGGAAGGTCAGCATGGAGAAAGCCTGGGCAGTGCATGTATCAGTATCCAAACACATGGATAATGGTGGAATTTTATCAGAATGGTGGATTTTATCAGAAACTGATGGGCCCCTATGACTGAGTGATAACCAGTCATATCTCTGGGAGATTAGGATCCTTAGTTAATAAAGAGGCACCTCTTTATTTGCTTGTTTTGCTATTTAACTTTTTGAGTAATGACCACTTTGGATTCTGTCTGTCACAGCCTGTCAAGTTTTGTAAGGTAACTCTGTATCCCAGTCCCTTGTATTTGGGATTTCCCCAGAGAAGGTCTGTGAAGCCATTTTTAATTTCCATTGGCAGTACTGGCCCTGCAGAGCTAAAGCTGATGGGCTTGGCCTGATTTGCAGCCCTTGCACTTCCTTGAGAGCATATTGAAACCCACTAAAATAAGCAAGCTGATTGTTTTAAAAGGCCCCTTGCTGACAGATCTGCAGAGTGGTAATTTCATCCTGAAGTGCTTTTCTCACTGTCATTATTAAGAATGAGAGAGACACAGCAGTTTATGGGGAGACAATATCTCATGTAATCATGTATCCACTTATTCTGTTGTTTGCCTCACAAGATCTTACAGGCCCTTGGCAAGTCCTACCATCCTGGCTGCTTCCGCTGTGTGGTGTGTAACGAGTGCTTGGATGGAGTCCCCTTCACTGTAGATGTGGAAAACAATATTTACTGTGTCAAAGACTACCACACGTGAGTACACAGATCCACTGCATGCTCAGCAAACCCACAGTAGTTAAATCATTGGTGTAGTTATAAGCCTTGTGATAAATAAAAAGGTCACTCCTGTTTGCTCAGATGTCCCTCACTGCTTCTTTCATGTGTTGCAATTGTAAAGTATTTTAAGGTTTGTTAAGCAGCACCTTCTGGGCCCAGTATGGCACACAGTGGCCAGGTGAGGCTGAAAATCAAATTGTGTCAGAGGATGGGCTTCTTGGGGCTGCTCCTCTGCTTCCTTCAGGACTGCCAACACTAATTCCACCAGGCACTTCTGCAAGTGTTGGTAGGTTCTGCTGGCTGTTTCAGGCTCTGGCAGAGCTTGGCTCAGTGTAAGTTTTGTTAACTGACACAGAGGACATGTAATAAACAGTAACTGCTAGAACAATCTCAGCCTTACCTGACAAAAGGCAGAGCTTTAAGAGATTGCTTTTGGACTCTTTCCAGATTCCACTCAAAGGCAATGGGATCCTGCACTTAGCTGCAGTTAGCCAATAACTCAGTTATGCAGCAGGAGTAAATCACCCTGAATTCAGCCCTGTTGGTGCCAATCTGAGTGTGTTACAAGGACACAGTGAGTGTTGGCCCAGTGATGAAATGCAGCTGAGGACCATAAGCCCATTTTGTATTTAGCTGGGAGATTCTGGCCACAATCAGCCCCTCTCCTGTTTAGGACACGTGGTTGTGTCTTTCTGATGTCAGAGTCCCTAAGTCAGGAGCTGCTTTGTAGTCAAGCATCAAGGCTCTGGAAGAATTGGAATGGTTTTATAAATAAAGGAAGGAAAGAAAAATGGCATATACAGGAAGAGGGGTGAATTCACTGTGCCTCAAGGTTGGGAAGACCTAAACAATAAAGTTGGGATAGATCAGCCTTTCCCAAATCTCCTTTTCATTGAATATCAAACAATTAGAGGAGTTTCAAATCCTGTGGATCTCCATTTTACTAAAAACAAGGCATGATTACAATGGCTCTCTTGCTTCTGCTTTTTCAAGATGCTTTAAATGTGATTGGAACTCTTTCTTCTTGCACCCTAGGGTTTTTGCACCAAAATGTGCTTCCTGTAACCAGCCAATCCTCCCAGCACAGGTAGGTGTTAACATGCACTGACTCCTGGGGAAAACAGCTGTGGGTATATGGGCACTTTCTAAAAACACACTAAAGGCTTCTCCTTCCTCTCCAGAATCTGTACCATGCTAGATACTAAATTAAACTCAGTTCAGCAGTAAAGTCATTCCCAAACATTCCCAGAGGTTATAATGGTCACACTACTCCTACAGCACAGTACTTCTTATCTTTAGGGTGCTTTCCAGGTCTTCATTAATCTGTTAGAAACCTCATTTAATTGAAAACACCGACTGGGCTCCAAGAACAACTCAGGGAGTAAAGCCCTTGAAAAGGCATCTGATGGTTGCTGGCCCTGTGAGAAGGCCACACAGGCTGCAGTCCTGAGGTGGCAGTGGAATGGAAGTTCTTAAAGGCGTTGAAAAGGCAACAACAAAAACAGAACCAGGTGAAAGATGCCTGCAAGCTCAGCCTGTGCTGACAGTGTTATGGACACAGTAGCCCAGAGTGGGGCTCCCTGGTGCTCTGGTGGGTGCAGGACCCTCTGAGCTGAGGTCAGTGACCAGCTCATTTGTAAGCAAGGGCCTCAGCATCTCCCTGCTTTTTCTCTGTCATGTTTACAGCACCAGAGCTTCCCTCCTGTGAGCTGCTGTGCCCCAGTGAAGCCTGATGCCAGAGCCTCTCACATGCCCACCTCCATCACTCTGCACATTACTCTCATTTGTCATTAGTATTTCTGTTAATTGGCCAAGCAACCAAACACCAAAAAACCCCATAAAGGCTGAACCAGAACTGCTGTTCTGATGGGTTGTGAGGAGAAAATCTCTGTGTAAATGTCACTGAATTTGGGTCTTAAGAAAGAATTCTTTTTTCTTTTCAATGAAGAAAGGAAAATAAATAAAAGGCAGTGATAGTGCTGACTCACCTGATGACTACAGGACACACTCCATGTTCTTTCCCTGGGAGATTTCCTGGGTTAGTTCAAGTCTGGCAGTGCAGGTGCTGACTTGCCCACAGCTTCTCTCAGACAGAGACCACATCATATCTGGTGCTCTAACCACACCTGGAACTGGAAACAGCACAAGGCAACCAATTAATGAGCTCTGTCCTCAGAGTGGATCAGGAAAAGAGCCTGTGAGGTTACAGAAGGGTATGGGCTGCTCTGCAGGCCTGGGGCTCAGCTAGGATTGCACAACTCTGCTGAGGTTTGGCCTGTGCAGGTAATTACCTGCCAGACTGGTATGTCAGTCCCTGTGGGGACACACAGTGACATGTGCACGTGCAAAAGGGCTGTGCAGCAGATGGATGGAGAGGAACACAAGTCCTGGAAATCAGAGCAGGATGTATAGAAGGGAAAGTTACCCAATGAGCAGGTTTTTTACCCAATGATTGGTGATTTGTTCAGATCCTGGGTGCCCTTGGACAATTACTTGATTTCAAGACTGATTTGTTTCTTGAGGATGAGGCTTTGGCTACACTTCCCAAATGAGCTGTGCAGCTCAGATGTGTCAGACACCTGCACAGCTGAGGAGTGCCCAGGGCCAAGACCTACAGTGGTCATAGAGCTCTGCTGTGTGGGGCAGAGGGGATTCCCCCAGGGACACAGCTCCCCAGATGAGCTGGGCACTGTGTGGAGACTGAAAAACACTTCTGAGACACCACTGGCACTGTGTCCTGAGACACCACTGTCACCTTCTCTGTGCTCCCCAGGGCTCTGAGGAGACCATCCGGGTGGTGTCCATGGACAAGGACTATCACGTGGAGTGCTACCACTGTGAGGTGAGTGCGGGGCCCGGCCTGCCCGGCCTGCACGGCCTGCTCTGGGGGGGGACCTGCTGTGCTCTGCCCTGGGGACCTGCTCTGCCTTGGGGACCTGCTCTGCCCTGGGGAACCTGTTCTGCCTTGGGGACCTGCTCTGCTCTGCCCTGAGGGTACCTGCTCAGCCCTGGGGACCTGCTCTGTCCTGAGGGGGGACCTGCTCTGCCCTGGGGACCTGCTCTGTCCTGAGGGACCTGCTCTGCCCTGGGGACCTGCTCTGCCTTTGGGGACCTGCTCTGCCCTGGGGACCTGCTCTGTCCTGAGGGACCTGCTCTGCCTTTGGGGACCTGCTCTGCCCTGAGGGACCTGCTCTGCCCTGGGGACCTGCTCTGTCCTGAGGGACCTGCTCTGCCTTTGGGGACCTGCTCTGCCCTGAGGGACCTGCTCTGCCCTGGGGACCTGCTCTGCCCTGAGGGACCTGCTCTGCCCTGGGGACCTGCTCTGCCCCTGGGCTGCCCTCCCTGGCTCTTGCCCCCCTGGGCAGGCAGGGCTCTGCCCCACAGCTCCTGAGGAAGACAAATGGGTGGATGCTGCCTGGGCTGGAAGGGGTGCTGCCATCACCAGTACCAAATTAGTTTTGGAGGGTTTTTCCCCCATATATGAGCTTCAAGGCTGGGCTTGATTGGTTGGGTTGTATTTTCTCAATACTTCTGCATGGGGAGTGAGCAAAGAGTAGGTGCCAGTTGTCTTTTTCCTCATCTCTAGGTACAGTCTGTAGGGCTCTGATCTGAGGAGATTTGAATTTACATTGGCTGTGCAGGGAAGGATTCTCACTGGAAGGCCTTTCTAGAGGATCTGCTTTCTCCATGCTGAATAAACATTGATTCTTTACTAGGAAATGGACCAGGACACCACTGACTTTCTGTCACTTTTTTGGGAGTAGTTTCTTATTGTGCAGAACATTTAAACATTCATTGCCACAGATCAAGTTGTGGAATTAGTGCTCTTGTGTGGAATTAGTGCTCTTGCTTCAGAGAGGAGACCTGAGTTCATCCTTATCCCACAGCCAGGAACATGAGAAGGGAAACAAACTCACTAAGCTGGGATCAGCCAAAAACTTCCTTTTTGCTGTAGGTTTGGCACTCTGACACAGCACACAAATATCCACACAAATCTTCCCTGTTAGCACCAGGGGCAGAAATACAGCAGTGCTGCCTTCAGGCACTGTTGCATGAAGGTTTTACAAAGAATCTTCTGACTGAGAAAGAAAATAATAAAATTCAGGGCATCTTGAAATGTTATTTACCTAAATGTAAGGAAGGCCCCATCCACTCAGCTATCTCCTTCCAACAGACACCTGATCCTCCATCCATTTCTATTAATTTTTCAAGAGCAATTGGCACAGGAAATCACAGTATTTTGGAGAGCTGAACTTCCCTCCTCCTTCCCCCAGCTATTGCTTTGTGCAGGCTTCACCTAAGATGACAGGTCCCTCCCCTGCTCTCAGGCTATTGACTTCATCCTGCAATGTCCCACTGGGGGTTTATTTTCCCTTCTGTTTCATTATTCATTTCCCCATTCTCCTCCCCATTTGAGGCAAATCAAGCTGCCTCCACATCTGCCCAGAAAGGCAGAGTGCATTAATCTACAGCAATCAGGAGTTAGCAGTGGGTTAGTGCCTGATGCTCTCAAATGAGGCTCTCTGCACACTGCTGTCCCCAGATGCTGCTGGAAAAGTGAGTGCAGGATTTTGAGGCACACAAGGTAGGGATGTGAAGATTTCAGCAAGGCTCCATGACTCAGGCAGCCACCCCTCAGCTGGTGCCACACAGTCAGTGGTCAGGTTGGAAACTTGCAGCTTTTCTGTGTCATTTCTTTCACATGCAACCACTTGGCTTCTGTGGAGGGGTTCAAGCCCTTTTGCAGATCACTGGAGCCCCATTCTGAAACTGGGACCCACTGACAGGGCAGGCTTTCTCCTTGCAGAAAGGGAATTCAGTTTTGGAGAGGGAAGAAGATACAAACACTTTGTGTATCTGTAGGGCATCTGAAATTGGTAAATTCTAATTTTTAATCTTGTATAAATTGCTATAAAATCATTATATAATATGTAGCAACATATTATATAATGTAGAAAATTACCTTGGCAGATACTTAGATTAAGACCTCTCTAAACTAACACTCCAGTTTTAAAGCTTACTTTAAAACCCATTTTCAGTCTTATTTCAGTATTCAGTAAAATTTGAGGATTTAAACTTGAGCTGTGAAAGCTGAAAAATTATACACTGTGTTCAGTTAAAAAAGCTTTGCATTTGTTTTCAGTGCTAAAACCACCTATACACCCAGTTTGTTCTGTTTGGCTTTTTATTTCTTTCTACTAAGTGCACAGATAAATACCCAGAGTCTCTGGTTTCTCAGAGCTGATCACAGTAATCATTTCTAAGTATTTAACACACTTGTAACATTAAACCTGAGTACCAAACTTCAATGATTTCCAAATGGCCTCAGAATTACAGTGATGGAAATCAGGGTGGTCTCTGGACAGAGGCAGCAGGATCACTGTTAGCTACTTCTGTGTTTATCTCTGTCTCTGTCTGTAGTTTTGTGTCAGTCCCAGAGGTACCTGCATTTCCACTAAAGATGGACCACTGGCCTTGAAGTCTTTAAGTTCTTTTCATTCCAAATTAGAGAAAGCGTAGACCTGCTCCAGCAGTAAGCTGTGTCACCTCTCCCCCTTTTGCCCTCCCCTCTCATTCTCTGCCTATGCTCCCCCCATCTGCCTTGCTGCAGAATCAGCTCCCCCTCTGTTCAAACCTACTCCAGGTTGTGTTTGGCAGGGTCAGCCCCTGGGCTGCTTTTAGGCTTTTGGTTTGCATCACCGTTTATTGGATGGACAAGAGAGCAGGATGGAACAGTGGTGAACAAAAGGCTGGGCACAGCCTGTGCTGTTGGATCCCAGTGATGTCAATGGTCAGGGTGCAGATGCCAGGAGCTGTGGGGGCTGCTGGCCTTGGGGCAGGGGGAGCTCTGGGGCTGTGACAGGGCAGCAGGGCTGGGAGGGGCCTGCCTGAGCCACTCACTGATCTGGGATGTCTCTCTTCCTTCCAGGACTGTGGCTTGCAGCTCAATGATGAGGAAGGCCATCGTTGTTACCCCCTGGAGGGCCACTTGCTCTGCCACAGCTGTCACATCAGGCGCCTTAATATCAAACTGCCATCACATCCACCTCCGAGCTACCCCATGCATGTCACAGAACTCTGAGAGACATTTCCAGCATCAAAGAGCCGTTGGAAAGAAGACAAAAATCTAAAGATTACTTTCATGTTCCTTTAAAGATGAGGTTCCAGTAATAACCATCTAAACCAGCTATTTATTTTTTGAATCAGAGGTGAGGGGTCCTTTTCTGATCTTGTACATATGCATTCTTTTATCTAAACATTTTCACTGAGACACCGTCTACTTGAACAAATAATTCACCACTAAACTGTAACTGTAAATGGCAGCACTTCTAAAAACAGTGGTACAAAGGGCTGTTCTGCACTCCCTGCTCTCTTCCTTCAGTGGAGATTACACCCAAGTAAGGAGTGTAGAATTACTTTCCAAAAGTTAGCACCTTATCATATTGCAGCAAGCATGATAAGATAAATGCTAGCATTTTAGCTAGTTCTGTTGAATTCTGGTCTTAGAGAATACATAGATTCCAGAAGTAGGGAATAGGCAGCAAGCAGGTGTTTTAGCCAGGGCAGTTTTCAGCAAGATTAAAGCAAGGTGTTCTGTGAAGTGTCAGGCCAGCTCTCCATCCTACAGGGTCCCACAGTCATCCAAAGATTAATTATTTGGCTTGTTCAAGAAATGTGGCAAGCCTCTGATGAAAAACCCACAGTACAGAGGATGGTATCCAAAAAGTGGCACATGCAGGGTCAGCAGTTGCAGCCCTCTGTAATTGCTGGCGGTGTAGCCATGGCTTCAAAATGCATTCCCATCAACTGGACCATTTGGCACTTACTAAAGAATTCATCTTTCAAACCTGTTTTTTGTTCAGTAGGGTTCTGTGCAAAGGTACACTTGTCTTTATACTGCTTGTTTTATCCACGACTTCATTTGTTACCAACTGCTTCATGATTGTATGTTGAGACATTATTAAAGAGAGGCACAGTGGTTTTCAGCTTTGTGTTCTTTTCAAGATTACTTTCAAACTGATTATGGTGATTGTCTTCATTGGAAAGCAAAGTGCAGTATGGCAGGAGTAGTAATTTAGAGAGTCAGACCATGAAACATCAGTGTTTACAACAAGTGTTAGCTGTACATAGACTGTACACACTTTCATGTTTTGCATAAGCTTTTGCAGTACCCTCAGGCCTCTGGGGAGAAATATGTCTTCCATATAGGAAGCTAGATGAATCTTTTTTAATGGTTTGTTTTTACCATGTGCTGATGTTTTACATGCTAATCACACATCTGTATGTCAAAGAAATCCCTTGCATTCTCACGAGAATTGACCCAGCCTTCCTGAAGCTGCAAATTACCATTGCTGTCTTTAACTGTATTCAAAGTTACAATAAAATAAAATTCTTCAGCCCCAGAGGAAGTAGAAATACCAGAGTGGATTCTTGGCATGTGTAAATTGGGCCATTTCCATGCCAGTTCCAGCACTGGAGAACCGCCGGAGCCGTTCGGAAATGATGCCGTGTTCAATCCAGCATGCAGGCTGATGGAATTACTTATTTGGCAACACCACTGCAGTTCAGTTTCTTATGCTCCATTGACTTTTTGAAAGCCATTTGTGGTGCTCTTGAAAAGCACAAAGAGCATCCAATGGCCACTAATTCCTAAGTGGAATAATTAACTCCCTTAACAGAACTTTTTGATAGTGTGGAATTTCCTTATGAGGAAAGGTGGGGGGAAGGGGAACAGGAAAAATTCCTGAGAACTATTTTTTCTGTTAGTAAGGAACAAAAAGGATGATTTCTGAACTTCTGCCAGACTTCCATTGGCCTAGATTAACCTGTCCTACTGAAGGCTCCTGGGCAAAGTAATTTTGTAGTTAATATGTATCAGTGTATAATTAACGTGTTTAACGTGAATGCCAGGGTTTGAAGTAACTACAGTGCAGTCAGTGCCCCATTTCTGCACTGTGGCCCAAGAGGCCTGGCCTGCAGATGAGAGGCCAGGGGTGCACCTGCCCTTCTGCATTTGCAGACACTCCCTGTGTGTCCATAGTCAGCAGCACAGCCTCGGAAGGAAGTGCAATTACACGTGCCAGCAAATGTTGAAGAAAGGGGAAAAAAAGTCTTAAACTGAATTGTATGACTAGATAATTCCTTCAGGTTGCTACAAACATGGAAGGGGCCAGAGCTTCAGGATAAACTTTTAGCATCAGCTGCAATGGAATGCATTTTCCACTGCAGGAGGGTGCTGTGGACCACATTTTGCTTTGAGGCATTTTCACTTGCATGTCTTTACCTGCAGTCTTTACCCAGATTAAGAAATCATTAAAATACATTAAAATTAGGTTGGGGTATCTTCCTGGGAACAAATAACAGTCACTTGCTGAACTGGAAAAATGCTTTTCTCTATCAGTAGAGAAGCAAAACCTTCACACTGACAGTGGACAGGGCTGGAGGTGACTTACCCTGGCATTCAGCCCAGTCCTCTGCCTGCACCTTCCTGAACACTTTGCCTCCATCAGGGCATCAGTTTAAGTTTCCAACATATTTTCTAAGGGCCAGCACACTTTCAAACATGTACATACCAGACCATTTCTTCATGTTTTTTTGAAAATGATCATCCTGTAGAACAGAATAATGTTTAATTTCATTTGACATGCTGATTTTTCAGTCTCTTGTAGTTCTGTGCAGTTCTGATCTGTTAAGTGTCACCATGGTAAAAATTCTGAAAGGTAATATGTCAATATAGAATAAGCAATTTGTTTAAAACTAGAAAGCAGCAGCTGTTGTTCTAGTATTTTCTATAGACAGATGCATTCCATTACTGTATTACAAAGTGCAGCTTTGCTATTCCAGCATTTACTATAAAAACTGGGGCTTGAGTGAGATTTGCCAGGTTTGGTTGGGTTTTTTTTTTTCAAATCAAAGAGAAAAATAAAATCAAACCTAAAATAATGATGTGCTGTACTCTTTAGAGCTAGTGACAGTTTCTGCACATTTTACCTCCTGCCTGGGGAATAATGTAAATAAGAACTCTCCTTTTAATGATTTTCTTACGGATTATTCTTACATTAAATCGGTTCAACACAGATGAAAACTTCCTAAGTTTGTTTTACAGTGCAATTGTTCTTGAGAAGCCGTTACTGTACTTTCAGACTATTTCCATAAAGTTACATCAATACAACCTGCTCTCATTTGCATCAGGGCTGCCCCTCCCACTGGGAGGTGCAGGTTCCCTCCCACCCGAGGGTGAGTTCCAAAGAAAGGACCAAAATCATCCTTTGAAAACAAAAGAATGCACTCAGAGAATTGAGCTTACAGAGAGGCTTTGTTGGGGTTTCTTTCCTTTTCCTTTTCCTTGTGTGCACGTGTGTGTATATATTTTGTAAGGTGGAGCTTCAAAAGGAAAACATGGTTAGAGGAACTCTTTAAGACCAGAAATTCCAGAGTAGTAAAGTAAACCAAAGCTCTAAAGGAAACAAAAGCTGCTTTCTTGTGTTTCAAGAAAAGTTTAAAAGTTTGTGATTCATCCTGTAACTAATGCCGTAACTAGAGTATATAATTTGACTTAAATTAAGTTTTCATTTGAGAAATATTTTCATTTTCTTTAAAAGAATATAGTTTTCTTCCAAGAACTTGGACCAACGTTGATTTTTATTTTGTAGGAAATATATGAATTCCCAGTTTGTATATCATGTAACTAGTTTACACGCTGAAAATATACATTAGTTAACTATTTTTGTATATATATATCCTTGTAAAACCTTTCAATGTGCTTCTGTCTTTTAGTCTTTAGAATTACTTGTGGTTTTGTGTTTCAGTGTTTGATTCCCTTGATTGTTGAAGAAAAAATTGGGAAATGTAGATTTATTTATCTAAAGAAGAAGCTACTTGCTATCATCTTAAGTTATTTAATATTAAAGTCAGAAGTTTCATTTAACCTTAGATGCTATAATCTGCTTTTTTCAATAAAGACATTTTGTAGTTATCTCTGCTTTTGTAGTCTGTTGCATGTAGGTATTTTATTTTTATTTAATCTAGGTAGGCATTAGAACAATTTTTAGGAACCCTTGTATTGCCTACAGAAATGCCTAACTGATATTAATTGATTGCAGCTGCATTCATGAAAGATTTTGGTGCTCTAGTGCAAGTGTTACTAATTAAGGTCTAAAATGTGCCCACAGCTAACGTTCTGCAGCTGCCCTTAGAAAAGAATTTAGTCACTCTGGCACTTTTTAATTAAGCTTTAACCAGTCTGGCTAGTTCACATGTCGGACAGTCAGTATTGAGGAACACTTCCTTTTCAAAACTCTCATTCTTTTCTTGGAGTGTTCCACAAGAGTTTTTTGCCTGGGCTATGAACTTAGCTTGAAGCACTTGGACCTTGGTTTGGGGAATTTTCTCTGCATTGTTGCTAAGTCACAGTAATCCAGAAACTGTGGCCAGAGCTCTGATAGGATCAAAGAGATGCAAGTTTGTCTGTTCTGCCTTTCTGGAGCTTTTTGCCACGTTCCTGTCTCCAGTTTCATGGAACAGATGGAGCCTGGTCACATTTACCTTCCCCAGCCCGTGTCCTGCAGGAGCAGCTGTGTCCATTGGGCAGGAGGGGCACTGGTGCCTTGTGTCCAGGGGAGAGGACAGCAGAGTTCCTCCCTTGTGTCCTCATGGTCAGTGTCCTTCCTTTCCATCAGGCTGGGCAGTCTGCTCTGGTGAATGTTCCTCCCTGCACTGAGGGGCGCACATCAAACACTCCCAAGCTGCTCCCATCACAGGGGCCTCTGCAGCTCTGCCACCCTGGCTTGGCAAAGCACAAATGACTTCACAGCTGGAAAAGAAACTTCCTGGATGTTTTCCCACAATGGCTATTTTGGCAAATTTTTCTTCTGCACAGTCAGAATGGAAAGAGTTACAGATGCCACAATTGTTTTAGGGACAGTCCGCACTTCGGTGCTTTGAAACAGATGTACCATACTTCTGCAGGGCCTTCACATAGATGCTATTTTCTCACTCATTATTTTCAAAAATTCATTCAAAATGAGCAATCCATGCCCTCCTTGAAGAAAAAACAAAAAGCACAAAGACTGGCCAACTCAAAGCATTTTAGCAGGGGCTTACTACGTGGGTGACACAAATGTACTTAATAAAAATCTAGGCCATCTTAATGCAGCAGGAATTTACACCAACTCAGAATCAACTGACTGAAAAGAACAGAGCACTTAAAAACCTTAACTGATCCGTGTGGGCCTCCATGCAGAAAGCACAGACTGGAGAAATGAACATTGGTTCATGGAAGGGTGGGTGTGGATGCTCCTGGGGAGCACCACCAAAGGCTGCAGTGCTGGGTCCCTGGAACAGTGCTGGGTCCCTGCTCTGTGTTGGGTCTCTGCTCTGTGTTGGGTCCCTGCTCTGTGCTGGGTCCCTGGCACTCTGCTGGGTCCCTGGCACTCTGCTGGGTCCCTGGCATGGCAGTCAGCCACAGCTCGTGTGTTCTGGCACTCTTGAACCCCATGGCTGCTAAACCTGCTGTGCAGCTGATTTGGGAGGGCTTGGCCAGCCACCCCCAGGGCTGCAGCCCTCACATTGCAGCTACTGCACAGTGCCAGGATGTTGCCAGATCATCCCAGGACTGAGCCAGAGCCATTTGTTAGTTATGGGAGCTGTTAGGAATACGTGAACTAGGCTGGTGAGGCTGTCTTCAGTCCCCACAGTTCATAGACTCAGAATAAATGAGGATGGACACTAACTAACTATCTAACTAACTAACTAACTAACTAACTAACTAACTAACTAACTATCTAACTAACTATGCCATTTGATGCAACACCTCACCATCAACACACACACAGCCAAATATGTGTGTACACAAATCTAGAATTGTTTGGGTTGGCAAAGACCTCTAAGATCATTGGGTCCAACCATTAACACAGCACAGCCAAGGCCACCACTAACCCCTGTTCCCAAATGCCACATCCACACATCTTTTCTATCC